GCTGGAGTCCTGGACACTGCAGAGATTCAGAGGTAAGACTGAGACCCCAGAATTCCCATGATGCATTCATGAAATCATCAGTCACTCAGCTTCCTGACAATATTCCCTGTTATATTTTCCAATTATGTGTTAGAGTCTATATCTTATTTGATCTGTTTTCCTAGTGGTCATGGTTTGTTTTCTTTCTACATTAGACATGTTTTTCTCTTATTTATTCCATGTAAAACAACTGTTAACAAAACAAGACTTGGAGTACTGCAGTGTTGGGAGTCAAGTGCCCATAGCTTTGTACCCTTCTTCCAACACAATGCTACCTGCCAAGTTATGCCTTTCCACTGAGCCAAAGTCTTACCTGACCCCTGCTGAGAAGGGGAAAAGTGTAAGCAGTCAGCAATTGTTAATGTTATGTTTTGCTAGGAAGTTTCATTGAGGGGGAAACAGCCATTCTTTGCTTTGTCTCAACCGGAAATGGCAAGGCACTTCAGGAAGATCTCAGCTGAGCTGGGAAGGGGTGTTGCCAAAACATAGCACACTGTTGGTCTTAAACAACCAAGCTCACTTCTCTACCTCTTAGGACTGGCATTTGACTTTGCCTTTTACTATTTCTTCTTTTCCTGTCTGGATATTGACTGTTATCTGAACAAAGACATTTCAGTTGTGACTAGACATGGCTGTGACTTTCTGGCTAGAGCTGAGCTGCTGGGCATACACTGAGGTCACTAAAAAGCAAAGGCCAGAGGAAGAAAACAATAGAATTCCTGGGCCAGGTGTTTGCCTTTCCTAGGGCCCAGTTCCTGCCTCCCGGGAATGGAGGAAAAGCATCAGGGGAAGGGAAAGCCAAGGAAGTGGCCAAGTCAACCAATGAGCAATGACTCAGATTGACTATCTTGAAAAAAAATTTTTTGTACTCTCAGCCAATGTCAAATACTTCAGAGAAAGAAGTCTTTGAACATAGGAAACAGAGAAGTAAGAGGATCTTGGAATGTATGCAGGAATACCAGCATCATTCTTCTGTGACCTTCCAGAGGCTAGAAAGTCAGTAGGTAGAATTTAAATGGGACCCCAATCAATAAAAGGCTATAGTAGCTTTTAGCAGCATTCTCCAGGTAGTAAATTAAGGAACAAAAAGAATTTATTGCATCATATAATTTTCATTGGTCTTTGTCTTTTGGGAAGGAAAACTATCTTATTTGAGTTGCCTTTGTTCCTTCATTTCATGTTTTTCATTTCCTCTATTGTATCAGGGTAATCTATACAAACACATTTAAATGGATGCCACCTTAATTTTGAGTCTGTTTTTTAAAGCTGTCAATATTTCCTCCGGATGAGTGGTTTCTAAATTGAGCATCCTGCATCTCCTGTGGTTTTGGCAAAAGTGCCTGCAGAGAATGGATTGGGCAAGAGAGGATGCAAGGGCAGGTCTTTCCTCACCAGCATTATTCCAGGCTTTTCTCTGTTCAACCAAAACAGTACTTTGCAGGGTTCCTCTATAAACTGGTCTTTCTTTTTTCTTTTCTTTTTTTTTTTTTTTTGGTACTGGGCATCAAACTTATGCTAGTCTTTTTTGAAAGACAGTATTATAAGAAGTGAATGCAAATAAAAGGATGCTGTATCAAATACAAGTTTCAGAATTGCTGCCATCAATGCCAGTTGCTAACTTCCGAATAACACTTTACTAAGGAATTCCCAATGGAGGCCCCATGGGAGAATCTAGAATAGCTGCAATGGAACAAATAAAATGTGAATCACAGTACTGCCAAGTGCTTGGATTACCTGTTCTCTGATCTGACCATTTGGGCCAAAGGGCTAAGTCTCTGGTAGACAGAAACTAAACAGGACTTCATGTATGGTGACTAATAACACCGCAGTGTGACAATTTGGAAGGAAGCTGTGAGCACAGTCCTTTCCCATCTTTTTCTCTTGCAACTCAGGGACTCTCACCTTACTCATATTTCACTTTTGATTCTGCCAGGACCACTGCTTGTCCAAATTTGAAGTTTTCCAAAAGCCAACTCTAAGACAATTTGAGTGCAAACAGCTCATTTGGGAGGTGGTCCCAGGAAATAACAGTAGAGAAGAGAGAAGGGAGGGAAAAGCAACAAATGGATGGAAGCTAATCAAGAGGGCTTTGGCTGTGATTAAGTAGGGGTTAGTCCCACTTAGGGGTCCTGGGTGAAGTGGAGAATGTGGCTCAGAACTGTGCCACAAGGGGCAAAGAAGAGTCCCTGGTGTCACAGGGAATCACAATCCTGCTGCAGTTGGACTAAGGAGTTGGCTGGAAAGTTGCAAAGAATGATGCTGGCTGGGTTGGGATATGGAGCGCTAAGGGATATGGGAAGAGCACCAATGAGTGCTGTGATTGCTGGTGCTATCCCACTGCAGAGATGAAGATCTTAAGATCAAGCAAGTCGAATTTCATGCCTGAGGTTATTGTCTTACCCATTCCACTATGCTATTTCCTTCAATATTGGGATGTTGGATTTCTCAAGAATGTACAATAAAGATTATGATAATTCTCATTTTTAAGATAGCGTCTACCTGGAAAGAGAGAAATGATGCTGGGAAAATAGGATTTTTAAAATTCTACCAGGAAAATTAGCATCAAATAATGAATCAATTATAAATTTTTACATTTATAACTATAATTATAATTCCATGTTAATAAAAATGTATAAAAGAATAATTGAATCAGAAAGGAACATTTGGTCATAGATAAAACAATGTTGTATGTTTTTCCAGGTTTCACCATTAAATAATCTTAGTTTATTCTTAATGGTACTAAGTTAAATAAGTCTGTAAGCTGGAAGACAGCAATGCTTCCAGACATTGGACAGAGGAATGCCTCTGCCCAAAGTTTGAATATCATTTCCAGACCCATAGATGGTCCAAAATAATTTGTGTAGATAAACACTGATCATCACTTTTTACTAGTTCAGGTCAACTCTGTTAAGTTGGGTACAATTAATACAGGTATACTCCCATGCACATGTTATTTAATTTTTCCATCAATTTTCTCAGGGAATCATCTCAAACATGAGAAAACTAGGGAGTGAGACTGGTCAAAGATGTTAAATGGCTCACTAAAGTAAGGTAGATTGATAATCATGTGTTGGCTTCAGACTCAATTTCAGTGGGGTCTACTGTTTTCAACCAACCTGTGACCACTCCTTCCTCCTTCAAGGAAGCACGCCCAGTTCGAGTTTTTGGGAATCACTTTTGGTCCATCAGTCCATGTGCTTTGTGGTTTAGGTCATTTAGGCTCCTGGATAAAGTCCTGCTTGAAGCCATTCAGAACTTGACTTGACTTATTAGCGCCAGTGAATTTCTTTCTGTGCTTCAGTTTGAGTTAACTTTCTTTTCTTCAAATGAAGGAGTCCTGCCTAGTATTACACATGGCAAGATCGATCCTCAACTCCAGAGCTCTATCACATTCTTCCTGTGTCTTAGTGTTGATAATAATGTAACAGTTATTTCTACTGATACAATCATTTTTAGTATAGGACTATTGGAAGAAAAGCACTTGCTATACTTGAACTTCTATTGCTTTGCTTAAAACCAACTTACTTTACCACTATAATTTTGAGTTCATTTCTACTATTAACCTGCTATCTCAATGAGTACTGATCAAATACTAAAGAGGATTATATAGCTTCATTTTTATGACTCACCTACAATAAAGTGGGGAAGTTTTTATACAGTACACCTTATAAAAATTTAAGGGGAATAACTGGTAATAAAAAAGGAAGGTAACTTGAAACATCTGCTAATATTATAATCTGCTATATTAATTATTGTAAAAATATTCATACATACCCCTTTTCACAGGCGAATACAAGCATGAGCAAACTCAACTGTTTTCTTTTGTTCTAGGCATTTATTTAAGCAAAATTTGACTTTCATTTATGGATATATCAGTTGAACCTTGAGGATTACATCCTATTATCAAATGGCATCAAGATAGCTCTTTTAGCCTTCATGCTAATTTTACTCACTGTCATTTTTCTGAAGAGCTTAAGTGATTAATATAATGTTAGGAGACATCAGTCTTCAAATTATAGCATTCATGACCTTTTTGTTTGGCAGAGGCAGGGGTCATGTGTATTCCTGGGTCAAGCATATTTTGGTCTCCAGTGCAAACAACTTGGCAAGGAAGAAACATTTCCTGACCAGGGGCAGTGCTACAGCATTTTTCAATGTGTGATCTTACATTGTAAAAATAAACCAAACTCCCTTGAGAATAGCATCCTCAGAGACAAGATTCAAATTCTTTCTTTGCAGAAACCAAATATGTGAGTATTTGGCTTAGAATTCACAGTAACCCTCAGATTATTTATAACTAATACATACAACTTCTCAAACAGAAATTCCAGTGTGGAACATGCTAAGTGCAGGAGCCCTGCACACGATCAAAGCCCATCACCTCTTCCAGGTTTTCACTTCACACTTTTTTGGGTTGTATATTTAGTCAGCTAGCCTATTGCCAGCTTTGGTATTTGGGCTTTGGGCCATATTGCAGATTTTTCATTTAATTTTAGGCTACCTTTTATTTTAAAATTACACAAAATCCATATAAAAACTAAAATTTAAAACATGTCAGCATTGTATATTATTTATTTAAAAGCTACTTTAAAATATATTTCTTGATATTAGGCTGCTTACATGTGCATATACTTAATATGTATTTGCATTCTTTATTTTTTCTACCTCTTAAGCCTTGCACTTTTAAACAAATATAGGCAGTAAATAAATGTCTTTCTCAGATAAATAAGACTGCATTTGTGGGTCAGTACTGAGATCAACATCAGTGTAACTAATGCTTGGGAACACTTGAAGAACTAGTTGAAATTAAAGCAGCAGAAGAAAAATTTATAATGTTAAATTTTCCTACTTGTTTCCTTATGAGTTTATTAATCAAAACATATTACTCATTTGACTGAAAGTTCAGTACTCTGGTTTCTTTTAATTAATTAATTAATTTATTTATTTATTCTTTTGGGGAGATAGTCTCACAATGTAGCTCAGGCTGGCCCTCAAACTTGAGGGGATCCTCAGGCTCCAAAGCACCCAGACAATGGACCTATTCTACCATACTTGCCAAGAGTCCCTTTATGCTCATTCCTTGACAATCTATGCAACCCTAACTTCAGACATATGCACATGAATTCACTACTTCCATCGTCACTGATACACTATAGCCAACACTCACAATTTTAAAGAGGAAAGATTTACTTGGTCTTACACTTCAATTCACAGGTTGGGATGACAGAGGTACATGGCAGAGGGAGATAAACAGAGGAGGGTGAGAGACAGAGCCTTCTGTCTCCATGCCCCCAGTGACTCCCCTTTTCTGACCTGGCCTCATTTCCCTGTATCTCTTTGAGCTGTAGACTCAGTAGACAAGTCCACCAATGAGTATCATGCACCCATGATCCAGTCACTTCTGAAAGGCCTACCTGAGAGCACAGGAGGCTTTGAGGGGACCTCTACATAAAAAAGATACAGTCACCAAGAAGGGGATTCACACAACTGTTACATCTAATCCTACTTGGATAGCGATACTTCTCTGTGACTTCCCACTTCCCATTGGGCTCCAGCATATACAGTTGGCACACCATGCACCAATCACAGGAGTAGGTACAGATCTGGACCCTAAGGGATGGCCTTATGTCAGTCAGTACCTGTGCCAATTTAGCACAGACCTGGGGAAATTTCTCAGGGTGCACAAACTTTGCTGGAATCCTGGACTCATAGCTCTCCAAGGGGGCAGGATACAGCCCGTGAGTTAACTGGCTCAGTCTGGTACACTCATGCAGCAGGACTTGAAGGATGCCCAGGGAAATGTGATTCCCATAGCAACTGAAGGTCTTGAGCTGGGAGCAGTGGCTCAGGGGAGGCAAGATGACAAGGAGCTGGGAGTCTGTGATGTCACAGTTCTCTAGGACCAGGGTCTCCAGGATGCTGGCCAGCTTGTCTAGCAGAACCTGGAGGGTCTCCAGGTTGAATGATTTCATTGAGAACCTCCTCAGGTTCAGGGACTTCAGCTGGCTTGTGCTTGGACATTGAGCCAGATGCTTTAGGTTAGATTCCTTCAGTGTACTTGATACAAGGAGAGAGCCTCAAGGAGAGGGCCTCCTTAAGATTTTATGCAGATTTTCTTCCAGGAAGAAGACATCATCTACATGAAGCTCCTAAGAGCTTTGTATCTGTCCTAAGTGAAGAGCATAGATGCAGGAAGGCCACTTGGTTTTCCAGGCTGAAGTAAACATTTTTGGGCTCAGGCTGCTGGAGTGAAATGTGCGAAGGTTTGTCATCTTCTTGAGCTGAGGAACAAATGCTTTCATGCTTTCCCGGATCCAGTTACTGAACAAGTCCAGCTCCTGGATAGAGTCCAGTTTGCACAGCTCAAAGAAGATTCAGGATTGTAAAGACAGCATCAGACTTGATCATCACCTTCTCACAGCACAGGCATGCTGAAGCTTTTCTCTTCCTGGCCCACTTCAAGAGACAGAGCTGTAATTAATCATGGGTGGCACAAGACCTACTCCAGGATTCAAAACAAAGGTGTGCAAGTATTGTCAAGGTCAGCTTCTTCTTCTTCAACCCAAGCTTGCCTGCCTCCTTACTGCTGGCATCTTCTGAGTGGGCAGCACTCAAGGCTCTTGGCCCTACACTCCAGAAGTCCCAGTGTACATCCCTCCAATCCAGCATGTGCAGTCTCCACCTGCTGTGGTGAACCTTCTGGGACAGCTGAATGTCAAGTCTATCCAGCAGGGCTTGCAAGGTCTGAAGGTTTCTCTGTTGGAGTGTGATTTCTCCCAGCTGAGGGTGTGGGGTCTTTGGTTTCCTCAAAGCTATCAGGGTCCTCAAAGGAAGGCAGGGCCAGCACCATCACTTTCAGGACTTCATTGTGTTCCCCCATGAAGGCCTCCATGAAAATTTCATGGAAGATCAGGATGGGAAGGTCATGCAGAGCAGGGCTGGCTGTGATCTCACTGTTCAGCAGGCTCTGTTTGGTCAGCTCATACAGAGTCAGTGGGCTCTGTGTACTCATCCTGAGAAACTCTTGTAATCCCAGCACTCTGCAGGCTGAGGCAGGAGGATTTCTGTGCTTTCAAGGCCAGCTGGGACTACAAAGTGATATCAAGGCCACTCTGAACTATAAGGTGAGACAGGTGCACATGTGGGTAACAGAGCTCCGGAATCCTGGCGGGACCAGGTGGTGACTGGAAAGCTCCAGGACTGAGCATATCCTCAGCTCCTCTCCTGCCTCTTTTATCCCCCCTGTTACCAACACCTTAGCTTCTCAGCTCCTCCCTTCCCATTCAGTACTCTGGTTTCTTGAATAGCATGTTGGTATCAAATCTTAGGTAAGTTATTTGAACTCAAAGCCTTGGTTGGGCTCTTTGTAAAAAGCTCGTATGCATTTTTAAAGTCACATAGTAAATGAAACCTATTTCCTTGCAAAACCATATCAATCTTCATATTAAGCTCATAAAAATCTTTCTCAAATTATGGTATGGTTTATTGACATTTACTTATAGTTACCTAGTAAATAAAAAAGGCACAAAAAAGAGTTCCTGAAAAAAACCCCTAAGCCAAACATCATGTTATGAAAAAATCAAATTAAAAAATCAAATTTATCTTTAGAAAAATATAACTCAAAACATTACTAAAAATTATGACATAATCCAGCAATTTCTTAGTCCTAAAAATAAATTTCAAAATCACTATCCTTTTGATTATGAAATAACAATATCAGAAAACAATCTTCTCTAGTCTTATCTGTTCACACAATTAGAGCAAAAGCAGTAAACAAATTGACTTGGTACGAAGTAGCACAAGTTCAACATCATTTTACTATTTTCGTTTTGGGGTAAGAAATTATTTACTTATATTGAAAAATAAGAATTCCTCTGGGTAGTGAATGGGAAATTTAGAAAAATAATTGTCTTGGCTTTGTATCTAAGTGTAGTTGCCTTTCTTTAGACCTTTTTAGATTTAGCATGTGAATCTTCAAGTTTCTATCTTAAGTTTTCTTGGTGCTTAACATATGACTACTTAAGAAATGTTTGTTGACTGTGTGAGTGAATGAATAGAGGAATGCTGTCCTCTATCCCCCCAAAAATCTCCAATTCATCCCTGTTGAAGACAATTCAGCCTGAATGTTATCTTTCCCCTGAACCTTCCTTAGAGGAAGATATCTGTTATGGTCTCACGGGCTAATGGGTTGAGCAAATTTTGGAAGATGATTGGATCATGGGTGTGTGACATTCATCACTGGATTGATTAGTCTACTGATGGGTGAGTGTGATGTTGGGAGGTGAAGCCTGGTGGGAAGAAGTGGGTCACTGTGGGTGTGGCTGGAAAGAAGATATATCTTTCAGAAGCTTCCCCCCTCTGCCATCCCAAGCTCCTAGGGCAGAGAAGCTGATCCCGTTACCACACCCAAAAGAAAGCTCCCTTGCCACCATCTCAAGCTGCACAGGTGCCACAAGCACCCACCCCCGCCCCGTAGAAATGAGAATACACGTAAGCAAGCCACAAAAACAGACTTCTGGATCACCTACAATAACCTCAAAGGGAAATGAAATGGAACAATCTGATACTCAACTACCTGGACTCCCTGGACTGGCAACAAAAGAGGATCTGGGAAAAATGAAATCAGAAAATAATTACTCAGATAACAGCAAAGATTGTGCTCCTGGTGCAAGACATGATTAATAAATCTAGAGAGGACACAGATTAAAAAATAGAGGATCTGAGGAACATGATGGAATCCCAACATAGGAAACAAATGGAATCCATAAAACAGATGCAAACAGATTTCCAGGAGAT